CACCATAAAAACAAGACATGCATATTAGCAAAACAAAACTGGGCAACAGAAGACAGCTGCCATGATTTTAACATATATGTGCGACATGTATGCTCTTCTTCAACCTTGCCTTGTTTCCCTAAATGAACACCAAGGTTACACTGTCTAGAGGTTTTGTCATTTAGTTTCTCGAACTTTCTTTTCTCCCTTAGATTTTTAGTGGTCTGTGGGTTTTAGCTCTTACTACTTTTTGTTATTCCATCCACTGAAAGACAAATGTCATTGGAAGTTGAGTTTGGGATGAATAGGTAATCAAGGGTGTCAAGTTTCAACTCCAGGAGCAACCAGAAAGCCTGCTGCTGGGGATGCACTGAGGCTTCTGGGTAGCTGGAATTGGCCTGTGGGTCAGGAGAAGAGAGACAGTCTAGAGTAAGACAGACAGCATAGAGAGCTAGAGCCAGGAACTACAGAAGCTGTCTGGGATCCACTGGGTAGGTTAGCAGAGACTGAAATGAGACTGAGTGAAAGAGGCTCTCTAGAATACAACATACAGAACTGTAGGTGCGTGCGTGCGTGCATGCATGCATGTGTGCATGTGTGCGTGTGCGTGCGTGAGAGAGAGAGAGAGAGAGAGAGAGAGAGAGAGAGAGAGAGGTGGCTCCAAAATGATAGAATGATAGACATAATTAATAAGTTGAATTGAAGGCTTAACTGCACATTCATGAGAGATGACAGATGCATACACACAAAGCTTCAATATATGACCTTCCCGAGGCTCGGAAAACACTCAGTGACAGGGTAGTACTCTGCCTGGGAGTGGATTTGGAAGGGGCATGAGGCTGAGAAGAAGATAAACTAGTAAGTGATGTGCAGTGACTCTGCAGTTTCGCCTCTGCGGTCTGTCAGTAGAAGGTCAAACCCACATGATCAAGGTCATTCTAACTTTTCTACACCAATTAAGAAGCATAATTTACAAAGTCTCCGGTAGCTGCTACAGCCCCTTTTATATTAGCCTTAAGTCTCTCCACTTTGGGGGATCCTACCCGAAGGATTTTAAACTAAAATATTTCATTATAAAAGCCAGAGACCTCTTCAGTTGAAGCCAGATTCTCTCATCCTTGACAACGACAGCATTCACTGCACCAGGCCTCCTGTGCTCTACCAATGCATCCTCCATGTCTCCATCATTCTCCTCTGTCCTCAGTAACCCAGGGTGCTGAGACAGTCCACAGAGAAGGCATGTACTGCAGAGCGGGAGGGAGAGCCTAGCAAGATGACATGTTTCCAGCCCATCCCCCGGCAATGTCCAACAAATAGGCTTCTATGAAAGGGTCAAATGAAGCAATGTCTGTTGACAATATGTGGTCCCCAAGACCATGAGAAACACGGACAATAAACCATTCTTAGGGAAATTGAGAAATGCACATATAAAGAAACAGAGAATTACCTTGGTTAAGGAGAAAAAAAAAAGATAACCACAAAATCATAACATTCATCTGGGTGTATTTGACATGAAGAGCTCAGCAAGACTGTCATAAATATAGACCTACTGAAGAAATGAATGAAATTTTTGAGGAGAGAAATAAAACCAACCAGCTCTTGGAAGGCTCGACCGTGTGTTACTAAGAAGCCAAACAGTCAAGGAGGAAGACTCACTAGGGAGCTGGGTCTGCAGGCAGTGGGCGCGTCTGAATGATCATGAAGAAATGACGTGACGTCACAGTGGACTGGAGGAAGAGTGTGGCCAGGTCTGGCGCATGCTTCTCAGCCTCCTCGTGTGGCTGGAATGCCCATTCCTCTCACTTCCGCTCCTCCGCAGGCTCCTGCCCTGAGCTCATCTGCCCTCTTCCTACTTGCTCTCCTCTTGGACTCTGTCCAGCTGGTTCTCAGAAAGCCCTGAAGCTGGCATTGATTTTTTTTTTTTTTTTTTTGCTAAGGCCTGTCTGGATTAGCCAAGACTACTTCTCTCCTTCAATGTGGGATCGGTGTTTGTCCTAGGGATGATTCTGAGCTCTTGTAAGCAAATAAATCATTCTAACTAAACACAGGAATTGTGTTAAACATTTTCTCCTAGACAGTTGTGAGGAGGTCTTTGGAAATTCTGGCCTTTGGAGATCTTTCTGTGGCTTCTAGAAAGACATTCTGAACAGGCCCTCAAAACAATCCTTCGCTTCTCCCAATGTTGCCTCCAAACCGAGGCCACTGTGAACAAACTCTCAGAACTGGGCAACAGAGGCATGAGCTTCCTCCCAAGCCCAAGGCTTAGCCAGAGATAGGCAGGCATCTTCTAACTAGATTCCCTGAATCACAGCCTGTGTGGCCTCTGTCACAGGTCCTGGAGTCACAGCTGCTTTATCGTTTGTCTCATGATAGGTCAAGAGTTGTCCCAGATGAAAGCTGTGCGTTGGTTAAGGTTTTAGAAACATCTGGAACTCCTACAGTTGCAGGGGGGGTGGGGGGTGGGGGGGGTGGTAGGGGGCAGTAATTGATGGTAGTGACCTTCCTGTGGCAGATTTCTTTTTTCTTTTCTTTCTCTCTATTTTTTTTTTCACTCTGAAAAGGCTTCCCAGAACTGGCCCATTGTGTCTCAGAGTCTCATCCTCTTTGGCTCTGCTTTTCCAGGAACGACAGCAGACACTGGGAACCGTGCATGGCCCAGGCCCGTCTTTCTAGAACACAGCTCACTTTGTGGTGAGGAGAGGGGCTTTGCCTGTCAGGACTGGGCAGCTGCTTCTGCTTTGCCACAGCTCTCCTGAGCCGGCAGTACGGTCATTGATGGCAAAGGCAAGCTGCTACCCATTATCTCAGGAGACGACAACCGTCCACTCTGCAGTAGACAGGGCCTTTTATTTCCAAAACTGCATCCTGCCCCTTTAAGAGCAAGCATGTGTGCAGGACTTTTGAGACAGAGGGTAGAAAAACAAAACCATGGGTGAAGGCTTGTCTAGTGTCACAAAGATTGAGCTGGAAGCCCAATTCTATAGTGGGAAATACAGTATGAAGCTCCGGGTCAGTCTTCAATAAAGGATTTCCGGTGAGACCTTAATGTATTTGTCCCATTGGGTTATAAAAATTCAGAGCCCACAAATCTAGTGTTTCATGTAGTTGGAGAGCTTTTTTCTCTGGTAAAGTACCGGTAAGCCACGAGCCACATGACAAAATAAAGAGTAATAAAAATGGGCTGAGTATAAGAGTAAAAGCTAGATGATGACAGGCCTGAGCTAATGGCCAAACAGTTTAAATAATGTAAGCGTCTAAGTGATTATTTTATACGTGGGTTATGGGATTTGGGGGGCTTGGTGGGACCTGGAGAGAAGCTCTGCAGCTGCAGTTTCGTCTTTAATTTTTGCAATAACATTAGAAAATGCAGCCACACCGGCGTAAGTACAGAAACAACAAAACTTAAGGAAAAGCTACAGGTGTGGGGGAAAACAGTTTTCGTGACCACAAGTGTCCACGGCGCTCATTCCACAACTGACTTCCTGTCTCTTGGCTATACTTTTCTGGTTAGAGTGGGAATATTGGGGGGAAGGGGGGGGAGGGGGGGTGAAGTTCCCAACACTTGTTAGGCACGCTGTCCCTGAAGTTAGCAGATTGCCCACATGCAGGCTGTCCACACATGCCAGCCCTCCAGTGAAGAAGGAGCGGGATCGGGACCTGGCGCCGCTGCTGGCGAGTGGCTCTCCTCCCAGAACTCTCATCCAATAAAGAGCCATTGTGGGATCTGAACCCTTCAACGCGCAGGACAAGCAGCTCAAATGAAGAAGCACAATGCACGTGAGTGGGACTGGAAACTTGAATGCAGGGTAATCACTTCCCGAGTGGCCAACGCACCGTATTATTTTTTCATGGAACTTCGCTCCCCTAATTCGGTCCTTGCCTAGTGTAATAGTACCAATTTCCGTTCCTCGGCTGATAAGTGAAGATGATTGCCGTGATAACTATTGAGGAACATGGGTGTCTAGCGTGGGTGGGGAACCGGAGTGGAAAACTGTCGGGGAGATGGGAAGGGCCCCGGGGTCCCGAGGAGGAGACAGAATTTTGTGGAAAGAGAGCCGATTCTCTCTGGGTATGATCCTGCTGTGGCTCTGCACTTGAGAAATCCGAGAACAAGCATGATAGGGTGAGGAACTGATTCAGGCCAGAGGCTTGGGAATAGACATGATTTCTACGAGAGGGTGACATCAAGCTACAACCAAGTGGAGCTGCAGGACAAAGGTCCCTGGTTAAGGGCATCTACATGGCACTCAGGGGGGCTGGGAAGGGTAAGGGTGTTGATTCAGGCTGAGCCACAATTTCCATCTGGGTGACCTGTGGTGATTCCCTGTGTCTAACAGCTAACATCATCACAGAGAAAAGAAAAAGGAAAGGAAAGGAAAGAAATAGAGCAGCTAAACATGTAACTGCCGTGGCTGCTAGCTTGGATCCCTCAGGGAGGCCTGTGTAGGAACAACAGCCAAGGAGTGTGAGCCACTTAGCCTAAATGAAGTACACTTCCAGAAGCTTTGCCTGCAGCATTCCCGGTCCTCCGTTTGAGGACTGTTTTGTTTTGTTCCTTGTTTATAAATCTTTAAGCCAAGTGTGTCTTTAATCAGTTTTAACCAGAAACATGTTCTGTCTCCAGCAATGCTCTTTCCTTAGTATCTTGATGACATCATGTTTCTTGTCGGTCCTAGGCCCCGAACCCAGGGCCTTGAGCATGCTCACCGCACACTCCACAACTGAGCTGTGCGTCCAGGGCCTCTGTCATAACTTGAAAGGGCTGTCCCTCAGTCTAATTCCATTTTAACACGTGTAACTATCTACCTATACACAAATGCTTTTCACACACCGTATTTGATCCACGTGGTTCTGGGTCTCTGATTGGAGTGATGGCAGGTTATTTGAAATGTGTGCCATTTCTTTCAATGTATAACATTATACATTATATCGAGTAAATTGGATCTAGTTTTAAAAAAAAATTACAAGTAAATATTCCTCCCAGCAGCCCACCATTAAATTCTCTCGGGTCAGCAACTCACCAGAATTAAGTAAAATGATGGATTTGAGGCACACAAATTCCTCTCCCTGCAGGTTCATCGTGCGGAACCGAGACGACGCAGCCAGCAACATGTCAAAGATCTCCACCATGCCCTCTACACATTTACCCTGATTCCTACGAAAACAAATTTGAAAAAGCATTAAAGCACAGAAAAACCTTCCACAAGTCATAAAGGTTCACATTCATAAGACTCTCCCAGCCTCAAATCTGTAGCGACCATCGGCAGCCCACTTTCTTTCAGCGAGTGTGAACATTCATTTAGATTGGAGAAGGCAAGGCAGGAAAACATGGTTTCCATCAATGAAACCTTACAGTTATTACAAGAATTCCGACATCCAGGGGCCAAATACGCTGTGTTAAATGTGGAGTTCTCTGGCTTATGGGTAATCAAAGATGCTTACGGTTCGGGTGTGACTACGGACCTGTGCCTGTGTGATAGGGATGAAGAAAGATCCTGTGTTCTAAGATGCCGATGGCTTTCCACTGATGGACAGTATCTTCCTAATCTGTCTTGAGATGCTTTTGAGGACCAGGAAACCTACAGCAGCTATGGACTGTGTGCTGGGGCTGGGGGTCACCGGTGCTACGTGGGACGGCACAAGTGAGGGTTTGCTGAGCCAGTGACATTCAAGTTTGTCCTCAGAGATGCAGGATTTAGTCGGGAAATGAGAATGCATGATTGGAAGAGAGACATACCTGAATATGGAAGGGCACAGAGTGATGCACTGGACTTGAGGAGGAGACAGGAAACACATTTGTAAGAGCTGGGAACTGTTGGCCAACTACGTGTATCCTGTATTACTCGGCGTAAGTCGGGCTTTTATCTTGGGCCATAGACTAGGCTTCACGACTTTAACCTTAGTTTTACCAACTAGTAAATGAGCAATCTCAAGGGGCTACCACACCCACCAGTATCTTATCTATGGGGGTGTTTCAGAAATTAAATGATATACTATATATGGAAGAAATTAGTTCATTTTGAGGCATGATGTGTTTGAAGAACTGAAGATACAGGAAAAAGTTAAAACGGCCTGTGAATATGCAAACGTTTATAAAACACACAAGCACTCCAAACACAAGCACAGATGCACTCGTGAGCATTGCGTTTCGTTTTTGTCTCCGAGTTCCCCGCTCTTCTCAACAGAGGAATAGCTCACCACTGAACAGAGTACCGTGTAATCATGTGTCCCTTGATGGGAACACGTTCTGAGAAAAGCCTCGTTAATTAGGCAGTGTTATCACTGTACTAAAGAGATAGCTGCGATGGCACTGGTGTATAGGGTCGGGGGGGGGGGGGGGGAACGTCGCATGTGTGGCCCACTGCTGACCAAAACACTTTTGGCGGAACATGGTGAAACTCTTCTGGGCCACCTCTTTCCTCACTGCCACTTAGTTTTGTTTCTAGCGCCATGCTGCTGGCAACAATTCACTCAGTAATAATCCTCATGTTTATCTCTTATTTCATGCACAGGGAGCTATAAAACATACTTCTAGAAATGGAATTCCTAAGTAAAAGGATGTGATTATTAATCTTGGTGAGCTACTTAAATATAACATTCAAAAACCCCCTTATATCTATAAATACACAAAGAGGTAGGAAAAGCTCCTGTTCTTTTTTCACCCTGAGGTTTATATGTAGGCTTCCCACGTGTTAAGAACACGTTTTACTATCTTACTCTACTGAGCTACGTTGGTAGACCTATGGAGTATATTAACGCGAAATTTTTCTCTGACCTTCCGACTCGGACCCTTCACCTACATTTTCCCTCAGGGCTATCAGTCATGTTCATACTGATTATTAAGAACTTTTTATGTGTTATAGTAATTAGTCTTGTGCTAGAGGTATTTTTCATGGTTTGTCATATATTTCTTTTAATTTTGCTCTTGGCATTTTCTTTACAAAATACTCATTGCAGGTCCAGCTTTACATTTATAGTTTTAAAACAATGCCTTTTGTTTGAGAGGATCACTCTCCATTCTGATAGCATACGACAATTCTCTTATGCTTCCTTCTAGTTGAAATGCCACACACAATCTTTGATCTTCTGAGATACATTTATTTTTCTGACAGCTCTGTCAAGCTATAACTACATCCATACATTTACCCATGTAAGAAGCAAAATTCATTAGATGTTCATATGTTCACAGAATCACACAACCAGCCTTTGGGAGTTATTTTGGTGCAACAGGGAAAAGTAAAACAGGATTGAGTGTAATATTTTTCCTCCAGGTAGCAAGTAATTTTGATTATTATCACTTATTGAGCAAAACACTTTTATTCACACTGAAATATGCAAGGGACTTTTGATAATATTCACGCACACCCAGCATGGTTAATGTGTTGCTTTTTCTCATTTTTCCGATCAAAGAATTTAGACCCAACCTTGTAAGTTAAACCACATAGCTCTACCAACCAGGGGATGGAATACCAGCCACACAATTTCTTTTATCTTCCTTCTTTGTTAAATTTAAACTCATTCCACGAGGTTTACCAAAGAACTCTTTTGTACCAGTTATTGGGCTAGACATCAGAGAAGGACAAGAGAGGCATGAGTATTGATAACATATCAAGAATGGAAGCAAGATGACAAGGAAGAAGATAAAAGCAATGCAATGCATGTATTCCCTTAGAAGGTGTAAGAGCCTCTAAATATAATAGCAAGATCCCCAAATGCAGCCTGCATCCATAGTCAAGCAACTGGTTTAGCATTCCCAGACTAACTTTACTGAGTTTTCCTATGCAATGGAGAGTCCACACATAAGGGACAGCATTTAAGTGTCTGGCAGAGAAATACTGATAAACAGAGGGCTGTGTCTTCAAGAGAGTAGTTGGCCATTGATCCTGAGTATCAGAAGTGCCACATGCATTCTTTTGACTGGAAATCTGGATGGTTGGGGGTTCAGGGGAAGCAGAGAAGAACCTTTGGAAGCTACACTGCTCGACCCTGGAGTGGGATTGGTAGTCACATCAAAGGATCTTTTGGCCTTGGTTGGAGAATGCAGACTATAGGTGGGTTTTTCTTGTTACATAGTCGACTTTTTAAAAAAGTAGTCCATCTTCTTTCTAGTGAAGAGAATAAACAAGGATGGGGGACATGTTTGGAGGATGAAGCTTTAAAAATAACAACTCACAGCCAAAATAGAGAAATGTTCCTTTCTCAGTATAATGTCTCTGTTTACTTAACAGACTGCACAGCGGCAGGGGAGGGAGCCTGGGTGTGGGAGGGAGCCTGTACACACCTGCTGTGAGGAAAAGTTCAGCTCAGAAACTGAGAAAGGAGAGGCTTAGCAGTTCTCCCTTCTCAACAGTCTCCCACATTTTCCCGTGAGGAGTTTTTCTTAACTCCTCCTGCCCCTTCTCCCTGGCTAGCCTGTTATTCCTCACCAGCAATTATTACCTGGAGATACACATTGCTCGCTCCCCAGTACCTGAGAGAGGCTAGAGATGGTGCATTTCTCAGATTCTCCACTCAGTTCGTGCGTGCGTGCGTGCGTGCGTGCGTGCGTGCGTGCGTGCGTGTGTGTGTGTGTGTGTGTGTGTGTTTAGGGCATGTTGAGGGAGCACACAGTGACCACTAACACCAAAGGCAAAACCATAGCATTCCACCTGCAGCACAAATACGCATTCAGAGTCCGAGTCTGAGTTTTGAAGCCTTCTTGGAGGATAACCAATGCCATGAAACTGAAATTGTCTTCACTGTGCTATGAGAGGCTGGAAGAAGTTTGTATTACATCTGCATACAAAGGAACTCATCTTCCCTTTTCAATGGGAGCAACTCTGCAAACATTAGAGCCACCTACCTCTTGTGAAGTAGATAAAAATTAGGCACTCCCAGGGTCCTATCGATATTTTTAGCACGTCACAGAATGCTAGCTGGATCCTGATGGCTGGATGATGGTGTACTACCTATGGGTTTTCCACTAGTGTTAGTGCTTGGTGATCCAGTTAATAAACTGTGTATCAAGCTGTGTGCCAGCCCTAATCTGTGTAAATATCCAAGGCAGACACTTGTCACCTGGCTGACATAAAGGAATCCCTCTCTGTTGGCTGCAGTCCTTGCACATTGTGGTTAGAGTTTCTTTTCAAAGTCCTGCCAGAATGTTCTACATGAACATCAAAAGAGAAAATCAGACCAAGCCATTTAATTTAGTTTGCAAGTGGACAGGTGTAGTCGGAGTATGAGAAATGGATGATAGATAACTAAGAATCTGGAGGTGACAGTACTGTAAGATGAGATTAGTCTAAATCCATGAAATGCTCTCGAGGCTGAGAAACACACGGGGCATGGGAAAAAAAACAAGTTGTATTTTTAAAAGAAGCACAGCGTTGGTCACAGATCAGAGGAGAAGTTTAGCAGGCAGACCAGCCTGTGTCTCCCACTGTGAGACGTGACATCCTGCAAGGACCAGCTCCTCCAGGCATCATATCAGTGCGCCTTTTAGCGCACCTCGGAATCCCCTTGTGGGGAGCCTTGTTCTGCCACTTACTCTCTTCAAATGTGGTCCATTTGCCCTTAAGCCATGGGGGAAAGAAGCAGGACTTGAGAGAGAATTTGCTCATAGAATGTTCTGGAAGTTTCTCCTCTATAAAATTGAAAGCCTGTTTTTCAGAAGCCGTAAGGTAACATTTCATCCTTGTGAGAAACAAAGAACTCTACTGACCCAAGCTGCACCTGTACATCTTAAGAAAAGCTCATCCTCCAGAATGGAAGGCTCTCTTTGTGTAAAAGAAAACTGACCAACAGAATTAAGGAGGCCCAGGAGATCAACATAAATCATTTAATTTAGTTGTCTTGAAAACAAAATGTACAACATGGTTAGAAAGTGGAGTTACAAATTAAGAAGCCATTTAAAATCAACAGAGGGGAGATCAACTATATTTAAAGACCTGCATTTCTAATGCTGTGTTATCTTTCATGAAGCCCATGACCTGAAATATGCCAATCACATGAATATTCATACATCTGAGTGATTTGCTTACGTGTAGTATAAAGACAAAGTGCTGAAACTGGCATGTTATAAAATTTTGAAAGGGGTGAACCTTTAAAAGAAAGGGATGTAGATGCCGGAATTCAGCTCCTGGGTTTGAATCTTGGTGACTCCGCTTACTAAGT